GTTGCATAACCGGACATACAAAAAATTGCAATATTTGCAGTCCTTATAGGTCTGAAACCATATTAGCACATTTCTTTAAAGCATTGTTACTTAATCTTGCAATTTATTTTCTTTATTACCTAGAACGGTAGTGCAGTTTATTGCCCGATTTCGAACCAGTAATCCCTGATTTTGCGGACAATTATTACTTCTTCATTGAATGTATAACTTTCGGAATGTCCAATATGCAACTACTTCACAATTTCATTAATATTTTATCAATTAGCATCAAACAGTGAATGTATGCATTGTCATTTGATCACAAAACGATTTTAAACAAATGTTCTGCAAAAATTGCCCGATTATACTCATAGTCATCATTCCCTTCTTTGACGGAAAAAGTTCGTTTTTTGTGAGTAAAAAGTTGTTGACACGCATCTTTTGCAAAATTTCTTAGCAATTAACAATTAGGCAACGGTTAATTTTTAAAGAGGTGTTTTTAAAAAAATATGAGAAAATTTTCTTCATTGTTACTTGTCATCCGTTCTACCCGCTTCTTTCAACTTTTAGGCTGACGACAATCAATGAAGTCCAGTATGACCAATAGCTCATTTTATTTTTCTCTCTTCCTGCTTATTCTTTAAGTCCTTTTATTCTTGTTTCTTACGTCAGTATAGAGATTTTTCTGTTATAAAACGGAGAGCAAAAATGAAATGGAAAGTAGCAAAAAGGAAGGTTGTTTTTTTTTTTTTAAAAAACTTCTTAAAAAGATAGCCTAATGTTAGGTTTTTAAGTACACCTTACAGTTAATATTCAATCGACCTGTTCTATTCTGTTATCCTCCTGTACTTCTGAATTCTCTTTCTAACCAAGAAATACGTTCCTAAGTTTCAATTCCTAAGCTACTTCAAGTCCATAGCTCATGGTGCCCTGTTTAAAAACCGTTACATAACGAATAATCTTGCTTACATCATTAACTTATTAATTGTAGTCGCTTTTTAACATTTCAAACATGAAAATCTCAATTCCCATTAATTTCTTTAAACACTCTGCTTTTTATATTTCCCTGTCCTATGTAACTGTTACCTTAATCCTGCAATCCCAATAATCGTCTGTGGGGTTCCAGAGCTGTAAACTTGCTTCATTAATTGCCTTGTTTTATTAGATGCCCAACCTAAGTTGGTACAAAGATCAATAATTTGCTAACAAAAAAATATGGCTGAAAAGCGCCATTCTCAATAGCTCACAAGAGTGTATTTGGTAGAATTTAAAGAAGTATGCATTATTTAGGAAATAAAAAAAAAATTAAATTATTCTGAGTAATATTTGACCGATATGTGACTGATTTGTAGATTTATTTGAATGATAAAGTGTTTTCAAGACCTCATTCAATCAATGATTCCTGCTAATTGATTTTGGCCGATTACCAGTATTACAGGTTCTGAAGTTTTGAAGTAAAATTTTGAAAATTAAAAAGAAGCAATAGAACAATGTTATCAATTGGTACGCTTGAAGACTACATCACCACCGATCTCTTAAAAAACTATCCAAGGTTCCTCAAGATCTTTGCTTCAGCTACCCAGGCGGAAACTGAGTACGAGATGAACGTTGCGAATTTGCTAATCAATAACTCAAGTTTAGCAATCGCTCTATCAAAAAATAAATACAGAAAAATGAATAACAAAATTCTGTTCTTGCCATTAATTTTTTAGAATCCTAATGTGATCAGAAACCAATTACTGTGCCTAATCGTGTGACCCATTTTTTAACAAAACGACTAGCCTTCAATTACTGTCTATGCAACTATATAATCGCAATTACAGTTATAAAGCGGTGAATAAACCATAGTTTAAGACTTGAAAATAATTACTTGAGACTACGCGTCACATAGTAGGCAGTAATGCTTGCCGGTGGAAACTTAGAAACGTCAACAATTTGCTGACTGTTAAAGACACGAATAAAAAAGACAATGGTTTATTTTCCTGATTCCTCGATCTGGCTGGTAAAAAAGTAATAACAGAAGGAAAAAGAAGCACTTTCACTAAATTGAAAAAACGTAAATTTCAACCCAAAAAATAGGTAATAATGAATAAAAACAAATAATATTTTGCAAAAAACTGGTAGTATGTGAAAGCGATTTCTAAACAAAAATTTGCTAGTGCTATCCATGAAACCCACGTATGATGAAAACTTTAGAAAGCTCAGCTGATAGTAGTAGAACCGGCAAGTCCGAAAAATTTAAGCTTTACTAAACCCCGTTTGTCTAAATTGTCACATAAATAAGTGACTACGAAAGAAGTTATTTCTGCCTTTGAAAAGCTGTTTCTCGGATGTAAGAAAATAACGATACAATCCAGGATTATCCGAAGGAAGAACATAACACAACAGTTTGATTATGTCACAAAAAATCAAAACGAGTTGAAAAAAACAGCAACAACAACAACAACAACGTGAAATAAACCCATGCTTGAGCAAAAAAACAAACATTATCTTCCGCGCGAAGGCTTCCTGTTAACAGAGAGTGTTGCTACGTACATCCAAACATCTTGGAACTTCTCGGTGAAACTGATGAAGACCTACAAAAACTTAAACTGGTAGAGAACGCTTTTTTAGTCGGTCCAACCGAAAAATTGTTGTTCACTTCCCACTTCTGTCCAGTTCTCGCTGAACGAATACGTTCAATGTGCCGCATAATGGAAAGTTCATGGCGGTAAACAAAATGACCATTTGTGACCCGTTCAATTGTTGGAGGCGATATATCAAAGCTACATTTCAGTTTTTGATTTGCATAACACTCAGCATTTTCACCCTCCAAAATTTCTTCCGGTAGCCGTAATTCACTCCTCTCTTTGGCCTCAGATAAAGTTGCCGAAAACAAAAAATTCATCTGAAAAATTCAGCTGCCAAAACTGTTCAAATAGTGTCGAACAAAATTGCCTTTCTTTTTTGATTAAAAATACAAAAGTCTCTTCTTAACAACTAGTCATCAGTCATGAATCTTGCTTCTCATCGTCCTTCTAATAAAGTAAAACAGTCAAATGCATAGAACGACATAAAAATTATTAAGATAAAGGTTAACATAGTAAAAGAAATCTAACTTTTCTAAGCAACAGAAGAAGAACGAATTCTACCAGCACCTATCTATCGCAACCTGAGAAACCGTTTCTAATAACCAAAAACTGTACAATGTCGATCCACTGTCTGTCATTGTCAGAAATGAAGATGACATGCCAATCAATTATATTCCAATAGCGGAACAGATATTAGACATTCTGAACTTTAGAGTGCACCATTAAAACTGTTCAACAAGGATAAACAAAAATCGCGTTTTTTATTTTTTCAAAAAAATATATAGTTAATTTTTATCAGGTACAATTCAGTGTAAAACGGCTTTTTCCTAGTGACAAAAAAAGCAGCATAAAAATTTTTGTTTTATGCCTAACGAGCAGATGATGTCAGTCGATAGTAACCTTCAAGTAATTTTAAACTCACTCGAAACGTCCCGTCAAATGCACGTCTTACAACCTGCGTGAATCGTGAGAATTGAAAGTGCAAAAATAAATCTTTCTACCTTAAGACAATTCTTATGTCTAAGGTAGTTTAGAAAATCAACATCAGACTAACCGTTCTTTGCACGACCTGAACGTCATCTTCTGTCCATTCATAAAACTGCCATACTAATTTAGAAACAGCTGTCCACTGTACTTCAACGTTGCTTTTCGCTTTAAGAAAAAATGTTACCTAAAACTGAAGAACGAACACTTCCAAAAAAATCTGCTATGTCAGAAGTGATTCTTGATAGAAATGCTATAAAAAGTGCACTAATCAGAAGTTTTAGATTTACAAAAATAAAACTAAGACCAATTACAGCTTGTTTTAGAATAATAAGCCTTTTGCAATTTTACTTCATTTATTTATCATATACCTATGAATGCTCAGCAGGTCCTAAAACCAAATACGAAATTACTTCCCTCGCTTCTCTTGTCAAAGCCTTTTTCCTACTGATATCTGATTTGTTTCATAATTTTAAAAGTCAAACCGCTCTGCAATGGGGTATAATTTCACATTTTAAACCAATAGATATGCCAAAGATTTCATGAAAACGTTATCTGGCTCTCAAGCAAGCTTAAGCAAATTGCTAGAAAGTGAAGAAAAAAATGACTGTTTTTGCCTTCAATATCATTTGTAAAGCGAAAAAGAGCTCTGGTGATTTTGATAAATCTGTCGCTGCTTCACCACGACAGCTGCTGTATAATCCTGTTTTAAAATCAGCAGCTCCTGTCTCCACTTCTAGACTCCCTGAGTTTTGTATACATAGCCATGTTCTGTCAAAATTTAAAGTCAACAACCAAACACTTCGCATCTTGTTTGTCGATGAGTTCTCTCACAGGTCGCGATGGAATAAAGAGTAAATCATGAAAGATTATTATCCCAACAATTTCAGGATGTACGAGTTTCCTTGTTTTTTGTGTAACATACCTTTAATGTAATATGATCTCTTGCTTTCTTTCTGTCCCGTTTTTACTCTTTTTCTGGAAATTCCAAAAAGGGCAGTTGAAAAACAGTAAATAGTAATATTACTCAAATCCCAACTGTCTTATACTGAACCACTGCAACAGTTACAACATCCAAAAGACACATCAAAACTACGTATTACAAAAATCTTGGAAAATCAAAATTTCTATCGCTAGTATTAAAACTAGAAATGATGAAAGATGTAACTTTATAGAGCGAAAAAGCAACCAAAAGGGCGCAGAACAGGTCCAAACAAGCAACCTTAAAATTTAAAGTTTGTAGAGCTTCTACAAAGCGTTTTTCTTTCAGCGTCACTTGCTTGTTCTGTTTCTCTCAAAAACTTCCGTTTTTCAAAGCAGTTTCAGTTGAGCTTCCCTACATTTAGCCAAACGAAAGGTGAGAACCAAAAATAGCTGCCAAAAAACAGTACAAAGTTAAAAATTGCCAGGTCTTGAAATCTTGGCTAAAAGCAATCATGAAAAAATTTTGAAATATAAATTTTGATTTTAAAATACAGAAGATTAATAATACATTGGTCAACACTTTTTTCCAGTAATTATGCAATTTTCAAAACTTTAAACTAAAAATTTTCTTAGCAAGCTCATTCTTCAGTGAATCCAAAAAACATAATTTTCTTAACGTGCCAACTGCGCCCTAACTTACTAGTCCCTAATATTAATTCCTCCAGAAAATAAGTAAACTGGTCGAGATTAAAGTTGTTAAGACTGCATTTGAAAATAATAGAACCCTTTAAAATTTTCAAACAAAATTAACTAGCCTCAAAAAGAAAACCCCTTCGACTGGGTTTAATTCAACTAATGCTGGTTAGGCAGAGGACCACCCTAAGCCTGAAATCTACTGAAAAAAGGTTGGATGTGTCGTTGCTACTTAACCATCACTGTTCACACTCAGGAATCTAGAAAGAGAAACTGCCAAACAACAAAAGCTTGAATGGTCACAAAGTGCCTACTCAATAGATTTCATTAACCACATCCTTTCCTAATTCCTTCCCTCAACAAGTGGCTAAAAAGTCCCGAAAAATTGTTTGAATAAAACTCCCCATTAATGGTTTGACAACAACTAGCAGTAAACCGGGAGAAAATTACCATGATCTGCACAAAAAACTTGAAAATTTGAATCCCAATTACATCTTCAATCTAACATCTCCCAACGGCCCCTCACTTTCGACTGTAAAAAAGTGAACTGATGTCAGCACTATCCATCTTACTTTAATAACTTCAGCGCGCCTCACGAGTCAACGTCAACACAACGACTGACCGGACCAACCGATCTCCTTCCAGTACCTTCAGTACAAGGCCGACAGACCCCCACACTCTAGAGGCCACCTAACTCCTAAACAACTTATCGCCAAACTGCGGCGGCTGCCAAATTCTACACGAACTTCTCGAAAACCACCCTCATAAATCCTCTCGAACACTCCCGGCAACGTTCTCCCCAAGAAGCACTCAATCCCATCCAGAACCTCCTTCAGAATCACTATTTCCTCTTCCCAAATAAACCTCCCAACGACTCAAACCCCTCACCCTGGAGACAGCAGCAGTCTCTGCCGTCCCCTCGAGGCCCATAGTCTATGAAAGTCCCCTGAAGCCCAGCCAGTTAGCTCATAACTGTAATACCATCTAAAAATACACTAACCGATGTCCTAATGCCTGAACTTAAAGGTTTTTACTTCATCTGAAGTCCCAGCACCTTATGACGACAAAGGAATGATAACTAATGTTTCCAAATAAAAACACCAATTGTACTATAACATAATTTGCAAGTCAGCGCGAGAAATCAATACGTAAAACAAGTCAGAGTGAGAAAACAATACGTGAAAACCACTGTAAAATCCACAATATCGACCTATACAAAGCGTAGTCAAAAATGTGATAACTTCCACACTCACGGCAATACCAAACTGAATTAACAAAAATGAAACCATTGGAAGACTAAATTCATATCGAAAATTTGCACTCGACAGACACTTCATCATATAAGAATAAGTTCAAAAGTCATTTGTAAATATCAAAGTAAAATCGTGCATCACATCCTGATGATCTTTTGCACCATGTAGTCAAAACAAGCTTCCATAGCTGAACTCTTAGCCTCTTCGACGGTAACCAGCTTCATTTTCCGTCCCCTGCAAACACTGACACTGGTACAATGGACCCACCAAGGAACTTGCAAGAAACTCCGCTTCAAACCCCTCGGACCCCTTTTTTAAATGTGTTCAGTTAAGAAGCCACCGTACCCAGATCGGATTTCACTTCTAAACAACCGTTTACTTCAATCAGTCACCGCCAGAAGCATTTACTAGCAGTGACAAGAATTCTTCGTCGTAAATCCTGTCTTTAAAAATCCGACTTCCCCAACCACCTATGCAAAAACTAAAATCCAGTCCCACTACACAATCTCGATGTAAAAACATGTCCTTCTGAACCATTCAGAAAACCAAATGACTTTCCCGAGAATTTAACAGACATTTGTTAAAGACCACCTAAAACCTCAACCTCTAGAATACCCAGGATGTCGGCAAGATGCACCGTAAATGCCACTTTAAAAAACGCATCAGCCCATAACAGACTCCACCTACCGACCAACTTGAGGTCAGATTACATCCATTCTCACATACGCTTGAAAAACACCCAGAAACGACTGCTCGTAACTACAACGTAAAGTAGACAAAAGCTACCTTCGAATACAAAATCTTTAGCTGCAGCTACTGCGTTGTTCCTTGTCACTCCTAATAATCCATCTCTATTCTAAATCACAAAAACCACACTACCACAACTTTCACGAAACAAGAGGAACGTACACTAGCAAAAAACAAAAATAAATGCACACAGATAAAAAAAATAAAAATTTTAAGAAACGAACCGAGAGAGTTTAAAATGCATCTTTCCCGTCTCCTTATCAATTTGGTGGCCAACGCAACGAAATTCACTCAGGTCTTCTGCAGGTAAAAGAACATCCTGGAAAAAACTCATCGGAGAAAACAACTCGAACTAATTCTTGAAAATTTCAATTGTGGCAACATTCTAATTTAAAGCTGCAATAACTGATTTGATCGAGCATACTACTACAGTGCAAACAGTATTACATGACTCTCTACCTCACGTTCCCCTCCTTCTTCCGCACCGTCTGCATCTTTCCCATCAGCTAAACGCTTCGTACCGCGACCGACCCGCTTGGACATCTGAAACAGATAGCGTATGCAGAAATCGACTCTTTGGATTTTCATTTGCAGAGAAATGATGAAAACAAGAAACATCTACTGCGTCCAGCATCCGGCCGGACCGAACTAAAAACTAAAAAGGCTAACTTATACCTCTGGATTAGTAAAATATTTGGGAATAAAAGTGTTATAACCTTGCCGTCACTTTTAGTAACTTCAGCCTTCCCTTCTTCTTTTTTGCTACTGACTGCTTTGTCATCCTTAGGACCTTCGTTCTTCTTTGCTCTTCCCCGTTTGCAAACGGACTAAATCAAAAGTACACAAAGGGATGTATAATAACAAAATCAATCTACTCATCTGACCTTGGCAACAGCGTGTCTCTCATCACGTACATCAAAATCCACTTCCGCCTTAACTGCCAATTGTTGGCCGCTCTCACCAGCCACGTCACCGTCCTTGGAATTCGGCTTCTCGCTTTCCTAAAACATCTGGCTTCATACCTTTCACATTCACTTTTGCTTGACTGATAAATTTCCTGAGGAAAT